TAATTCCCTTTGGAGCCTATCTCTGGAAGGATTCTTTACATACTACTTATCTAAGTGGGCAGTGATCAGTCTATGCATCACTATAGGAGCATATATAGGCCAAGGTGGCTATAGAGAAAGGAAACTTGTGCAGTTTATATTCAATTTAGCAACTTGAACTTCTTCCCACTTCTCTCCTTGGATCTCACCATTTCTTCTGGCTCTAGACTTTACCTTTTTCTTCACGAGTACAAGACAGGCATTGGCCTTCTTGGCTTACATGAATGCAATGTCTAGGAGAGAAATCTCCACTAGAACAATCTCTATAACAAAACAAGGAACTTCAGATAAACCAAGGAGATATATTAGATCTTAATGCCTGCAAAGGTGTCACCTACTCCTGTCTCAGAGTACAACAGAAAAAGAGAAACTGAGATGGGGACTCTGATCTCGCCTTCCCCCAAGGTGTGGACACGGCAAGCAGGGACTCCTGAGCTGTGAGAAAATCTCAGCCTGGCCCACAGCCATCACAGGCAGGGCTTCAGCAGGGGCGAGCTCCTGCATGGGATGTCAGCTGCACCCTGCCTGGGAGAAGGACTCAAGAACATTATAGGTGCCCAGCAGCAGCAGGGATGCAGGAACAGGAGGTGAGGTGGCCCCCTCCATGCCCCCTGCCCAGAGGGCGGCCCCAGCCTGCTCCCACCTCACACCATGAGGCTTCTCCCAGCACCAAAGACCTTCATCCAGGTCAGGGCTGTTGTCCAAAAAAATAGCTTTTCACTGGGAAATCAGTTCCTGTTTGGGTTTTGGGGTTTTTTTAAAATGGGGAAATAAGCTACTATTACCTTTTTTTCCTTCCATAGCACTACATAGTCTATAAACTGGGAAAAACAGCTACACAGCCAGCATCTCATTAAGTAATATGGGGTGTTGTAAGAGCTGGAACACCACCAGCAACATGAAAGGCGGGCAATTACAGACTCATTTAAGGCATGACAGGTCTGAGTATGTTTTCATATCCTAGGCAAGAAAAGCATAGAAGTAGGTATCCCTGGTCCTTCTGGTCTCCCTTTTCATTTTTTACCAATTTCAGGACTTACTGCATTTATCTCAGAAATGTGGGGCTCTGTGAGCATCTGTGATCTGAAGTTGGCTTCTCCCACTCCAGCATGCATGGTGCTGGGGAACGTGGCACCGACGGCAGGTCACTACGGCCACTGCACTGACAGAGGAGCAGGTCCGTATCCTGAATTATGTTGACACGAGGGATTATTCTTTTGTGTAATTAATTCAGGGACAAAAGCACCAACATATGCAATCAGTGCCCCATACAAGGGATGTGAAACAGCTGTGTGTAAGGCTGTTTGCCTGCCAGGCAAGGCACTGTTTATAACTCCCATCAACAGGTCCCTGAAGGGGATTCTTTAGAGATCTTAATTTCTATCAGTGGATAATGATATTGATATTATCTCTACAAATTAATGCATCTGATATATCACAAAGAAAAACATTCACAAGACACAGACCTGTTGAGTTTCCCTGTGTGTAAATTGTAATTGCCACCCGTCATCTTCAAGACACTGGGCTGACCTGCTGTGGCGTCACCCAGTCCCCCACCATCCCTCTTTGCTTGGTGACACAGCCAGGCACTCACTACATCAAAAGCAAGACTAAATTATTTATTGGGCTCTGTGTACAGGGATCCACTGTGATCCATCGCAGCGATGGGTACAACCATGCCAGAAAGTGCTGCACCTCAAACGCTGCTTGTCCCAACCCTGCTGTGCCTGACCCAGCATCAGCCCGACCTCCTGCGCGGTGGACAGGGCTGCTGTCACCCTCGAAACCCTCGTGGTCCAGCCCGACGTTGCTGGTTTGTCTGTAAATGCTAACGGGTTGATACACTCATTAACCAGGGCATGCAGGGCTTGCCTCCCACACTGCCAGACTAGGGAAGCCATTGGCAGAGCAGGGTCACCCCAAAAATCACCTGCACGCTGCCCGGCGTGGGGCTGCCCTGTTGGGAAGGGGGCGTGTGGTGGTCTGGCAGCAAACCTGGACTCGGGGTTGAATGGAGCAAGGCAGAAAGAGATTGCCTGGCAGCTCAAAAGCAGTGCAGTGAGTGGCACACGGCCGTGCCCTGCCACGGACGAGGATGCCATCAAGTGGCCAAAGCCTTCCATTCACTTCTCTCTTGCTTTGTGTATTTTTATATCAAAAACTTTCTGCCTTCTGCCCCCTTTCAACACCAGATAGTCCACAGCTCTCCCTGACAGCAACTTCTGGCAGGCGTGTGTTACACAGGAGTTTTGTCCGAGTAAATCCTGAGAATCCATGTCAAAATTGGTATAATTGGATGAAGAATATCAGGGAAGATCACCACATGACTCTAACATGGGTCTTAGGGCTTTACGCCCAGCGGGACACTGAACACACCACACCTGGTCACCATGAGGGCAGGGTCATTCAGATACACAGCTCATTGCAAACCTCATCAGTTTAATTAATTCACGGTCCATTTTACATAATGCAGGCAGATAAGCAACATCATTTGTCTGCACTTAAAAACCAGTCTCCCCGAGTATTATCCCTGGAGACATATGATATTACGCATCTAGAGAACATGTTTTACGTATATGCATTAAAATAGGTAACATGGAAAGGATGAATCCTTAAATGCAGCCAGCAGCAAATACTTGTGTGAAGGCTCATCAATTTTATCCATATTGTTTATCAAAAACAGTTCCCTGTGTTCTCGCCAAGCTCAAAGGCACTGTGAGCCTCCTTGCCTGCAAGTCCTGAGATGAAGCAACACCAGCTGTTTCTCCCACTTTTTAAGACCGGTGTTGTGGGAAGCCACATTTCTGGTTTTAGTTCAGGCCTCAGCGAAGAGGAGTCCAAGGTTGGGGACCCCATTTCTGGGTACTGCTCCAGACCTGAGATTTTAGGCACTTTCTGCTGAGGTCTTCAAGTCTTGTCACCAATTCCTCCATTCATCCAGGGAAGAGGATGCAGGAGTTTCTCTTTGCTTCTCCTTTTTTGGAGGAAAGCTGGACGGCTGCTCCAGGTTGTCTTCAGAAACCTTTATTGAGGGCATCTGCTAAAGCTGCCATTGCTGGGCTTTTTCACCAGAGCTCTTCTTCTCCAGAGGAAGATGGGGGGAACCGTACATTTCTCAGAGGACAGTGTTGTCCCAGACTGTTCCCCCATGCTGCATATCCCTCTGCGTGCGAGGCTGTTACCCCTCAGCCTCTCCTGCCAGTGCCACCAGAGTCCTCTTGTCCTAGTGGAGCTGGTTCTTCTTGGGTTTTGGCATCAGAAGCTCCATGATTAGAAAATAAAGCATGGAGGTATTTAACAGCATAAACAGAAATAGTCGTGATGTAAAAAATCTTGGAATAATTGAAAAGCTGAGGTAGACCAAAGAGAGACCTGGGGTGCCCCAGCCATCTCAGCAGGATTGTGGCAAAGAGCTGGAGGTCTGAAGCTGGCCTGTGTATTTTAGAGAATAGTTTGGGATAAACTGCATCCTTTAAAGAGACTTCCTTTGCCAGTGGTCTCTCAAGGCTGGAAAGTGATGTCTGCAGGATTTGGCCGTTGGCAAGCTGGACTGTCACGTCAGGCAAATCAGACGGTCTAACAAGATACCTCTAGCAGGTCCCTGGAGGGCTACACAAGACCAGTTAGGTAAATTAATAGGCAGCCATCTATATGGAATGCAGACTTGTTTTATTGTTTTCAGAAGAAAAATAGCAGCTTAGTCACTGAATTTAACATCCTCCTGTCTGCCAGTTTAATTAATATCTTGGATAACAAACTGAAGTTGTTGAAGCCCTTCACATCTTTTCATGATAATCTTGCCTGAATTAAGGCAGAGTTCTGTGATGTAAAACTTAAGTATTCGTTCATACAGGTAGAGTCATCCATTTCTTTGATCCCAAAAGCAAGCTGGGATTTGGTGGGAATCCAGACTTTCCTATATGAAAAGCACCTGCACACCCATCACACCTCTCCCTTTCCTTATGCGCAAAAAAAGATGAGCGTGATACACAGTGTTGTATGAAAGATGCTTCCTCAGCTGATGTTGAGTGGTCTGGTGTTGGGTATATCTCACTCATGTGGGTAAGGGAAGTAAATTGTTCTCTCGGCTCAATGCGAAAAACATCATCGGCGCAAAAGCCCAACACCAACATGGGAATTATTAAGGTGTTCTTAGACAACAGAGAGAAAGATGTTGTAAGAAAATGGGCCTTGGATTTGATTGAGCTGTTGCAGTTTTTTGAGTCCTCCAGGGACTAAGTCCGTGGCAGAAGAGAAAGCAGATGCCATAGGTGCAGGAGCAGAGTCTTCAGTCAGAGCAGCTGAGCCCTCACCAACACCACACTGCTGATTTGGCTCAGGAAAGTAGGAGACTTTCAGGTCTTCTTGGCAACGCTTTTGAAATAAGAAAGAAGGAGGTTTATAACGTACTGCAGGAAACAGCAACAACTGCCAAGAATAATCTTGAGTATTTAACTGCTAAAAAAGTTTCTGTAATCAGATATTTTTAATGCTGCTCCTTTCTGTAACCCTAGGATTAAGAGGGAGAGTAAAACTGTGAGTTGATAGTCAAGACACTTTGAAAGGGTTTCATTTCAGGTCTGTGTAGATGGATCAAAGGAGGAAATGATATTGCGCAGGGACTTTAGTGAGAATGGTATTTCAAAACTTACAAAATGTTAGAGAATATTCTTTCGGATTTTCTTTTCTGATTCACAGTCATCAAAACAATCACAGCAATCAGAATGGATTGTAATGAAATTCCACAAGATCAGGAATGAAACCGAAATCCATCGGCACATCTATTGTCTGCTCCAAATCCCACAGACCCAAATTTGGAAAATGTTTGACTATTCAGATGTAGGTACCCATGTAAGTTATCTGACTTTCAGAGGATCTATACAATTGCAACTCCATTTGTTTCAAAGATTAATTCTCTAATTTTAATAAAGCTAGAGGGTCTTTATGCGCTGACCTGGAAGTTAAGGATTGGTCTCAGTTTGGTCTCTTTTCATTGCTTTGAGAGAAAGTTCATAGCCAAGAAACATGGCTGAACTCATTGGGAATCCTCGCACTGCATTGACCGTGATGCCCCTAAAAAAGACCTGTTGGGGATGGAGAAAGGTTAGAGCACAGGAATATACTGGCTATTTTAAGAAGAAGAAGAAAACATTGAACGAAGTCATGGTGGGATTCTGAAGAACCAAATCTTGGTTTGCTCAGGAGATACACTCTCACTGCTGGTCTTTGCTGAAGTCATTCTGGAAAGAATGTCTGGAAAACATTGTCTGAAAGTCATGCTGGAGAATGGAAGCGCAATGGCAAAAGTCACCGGTTTGGTATCATTGTGCCCTATGCTCCCTCTGCCCCCCCTCTGTATCTGCCAGCACAAGCTACAAGAGTTTGAGGGTAAAAAATGGCCTCACGCCACTGGTGTAGAGCAGAAAGCAAGAAACCTAAAACATCTTCCGGGGTTGTCCTACCTAGCTGCAGTTCCTCCTTAAGTATGTGGGGATCGTGCAAACCCCAGGGTACAACAAGGTGGCTGTTGCTTTCGTGCCACCAATGCTCTGACCTCTGGGACTGTCTATGAGTGCAGAAGATGTTTGGGAAGCGGAGAGGGAGCGGTGTGGCTGCAAGCCAGCCCGGCCGACACAGGCACTGTGCCACACAGACTAATTTGCAGATTTCACCTTTCAGCATAGAAACAATTTTTCAATCAACAGAAAACTAGACTTACTCTGTACCTTGCTGAGAACTAGCTCTCGCCACTGGCTTTGGGAAAAATATTCGGAAGAAGCTCATATTTTCACATGTGGGTTCCTAAGGTCAAGCTTTGGTGCCCATATGTATCCCAGTGTTTTCTTTCATTAAGATAATAAATATGAATGCATACAGCCAGGCTTCCTTATTCTGCTCAATATATACTTTTTGAAAAGATGCTGGCACTTACAAGAGTTTTTAAGTGCTCATACAGTAGAGTGCTTTCTGGAAAGTGGAGAGGGGCCCTTGTCGCTCCTCACTCCTGGTATTGGCTTGTCTCCCTTTGAAAATCCCCCTCGCTACAAACACTGTTGCCTGGTATGTGCAAGGGTGTGCACAAACCACTCGCTCTGGGGTGAGCCTGTTTACAAAATGATGATTGCAGGGAGTATCTCTGCTGGCCTGTTTCTCACAAAACCGCTCCGTTAACCACCCACGCTAATCACTGTGGCCACTAATCTAAACACCAGAAGTTCAGAATAGACACAAAAAGTAACATCAGCAAAGCAAGCGCCCTTCCAGGCTTCATAGAGGCAAAGCTCCCACAGCTACTGTAAGAAAGCATGGAAGATCTTGGCTGCAAGACCAGAAGCCCATAGATTTCAGCCTCTAACCACTATTTTCCCTGAAATACTGAGCTCTGCTAAACAAGACTATATGTTGTATCCAATAAATCCAGTGCATGGTGCTGACTTGTACGAGACACAATCAAAACATCTTCACATTGTTTAGGATAGAATTTTCAATGTGAAATTGCAATGTTGGGATGTTTAGGATATTACTTGATTTATTGGGGTGTTTTATTGTGCTGGGAAAGATAGAATTTTCTGGGAGGAAATTCAAATTTTGCAGTATCCATAAAGTAACATGAGAGAGCCAAGTTAAATAATAATGAAGATTTATGAAGAAGAGCCCAGAGGCATAATTTTCTCATTAGAATGAACACACCTGACCATGGGGAAAGAAGAGGGCTACATTTTTTTTTTTTTTTTTGTACACCAGGCAATTATTTTCAGCACTGAATACTGTTCCTTTTTCCCAGAATGAAAACATCCAGAGCTGGGTTTGCCGTTTATCTGTTCTGCGTCTCCCAAGATATAAAAAGATTTTCCTGATGACAGAAGGATCTAGTCTTATCATCAACTATTACTTAATCCTATTGCCGGCTTTGGTCCGAGTGCCAGGTATGATAACAGAAAAACTGTAAGCAGCTCAGCTGTTAATATTCAGGCAGGACAAGGAAGATAGAGGATGAGGATGGAAAGAGAAGGGAAAGCACGTGGAAATTCCTTTTTCAGCCACCCTATGTTTTACTGTGGAACTGCATGCCAAATCATAGAATCATAGAATCTTTAAGGTTGGAAAAGACCTCTAAGATCATCAGGTCCAACCATCAACCCAACACCACTGTGTCTACTAAACCATGTACCAAAAAGTGCCACATCTACACGTTTTTTGAACACCTCCAGGGATGGTGACTCCACCACCTCTCTGGGCAGCCTGTTCTAATGCTTGACCACTCTTTCGGTGAAGAAATTTTTCCTAATATCCAGTCTAAGACCGAAGGTGCAGGGTGGCCTGGGCAGAGCTTGGGACACCCTGACCCTCCTTGGACCACCCGAGCATGGTCCTTAGCACCTCTGCAGGTCCCTGTGCATCATATGAATGTGGCTTTCTTCACTCAACGGCAAAAAACAAACCAGACTGCAAGCGCCTGTGACAGCTGCCATAATATAGTGGCATGTTGGCAAATATTTAAATCACACTGACTTGTGATTTTGCAGGTTATTTTCTTCTTTGTAACTTGTTACTTTTCCCTCAGAATGTGAAAATTAACACTTTGGAGCTAAAAGCCCACATGATGTTTTGATGACAACTTAAATACAGATTTATTTCAATATCAGAAGATGTCACTTCTCATAACCATGCAGCACAATAAAGCTGCAAACCCTGGTTCTCTGCCATTCACATTTAACTGAGGCAAAGTTTGCAGTTAGAGCAAACAGCTTTTATTACACTAATAGATAAAGTCAGAAAAAGGAGATAAGGGGTTTTTTTGGCATGCAGACCTTCATGCTTGAAGCTGAAGTAATTCTGATTTAAGAGCATTTTCAATCAACTCTATCTTGGTGGGAAATGAGGGTGAGTAGTGCAAACAGCAGCATCAGTTCCACCAAAGCATTGCCCGAGGTGACCAAACACACCTTGGGTGCCAGCGCAGTCCCGCTGGAATCCGTTCCCATTGACTTTGGGGTCAATGGGAAACATTTCACCTCTGCATTTTATAGAAGCAATCACAGAGGCAAGATTTTCTACTCTGATTTATGACACGTCAAATCATATCCACAACTAAATTCACTGATACGAAGTCTTATTTTAAGTTAATTACACCAGCAGACCTTGACCCCCAGTCATTCATTTTGTCATTGCTGTAAGGCACATTATTACTCTCACTATTATGATTTGAAAAGAATCTGCACTACAATTACCTCCTCTCATTATTGTAATTTAGCAGTAACTGGCTTTAGCTGTCTCTCAACCCTGCAGATAGGTTTGTAACAGCCATTGTATTTCCCAATTGAAAATTAAATCCCTAATACCCAGATTTTACTTCAAATATCACTTACTTTTAAGCCCTCGTTCTGGTAGCTCTGCAAGATACAGTCAAGGGTCCCTTTGTATTTGTTTAAATAAACTCCATCTGCCTGAAGTCGACTTTTCACAACATCCATTGGAGTAGCAGTCCCCCAGGAAATGGCTCCTAGAAAAATGCAGAAGTATTTGAACAATTTCTTCTCTGTATTTCCTTCACCGCAGGTCAGTGGACTCAGAAATTCATCTCCCATCTACCACATCATATTCATGGGATTTTCATTTGAGGGTGTTCACCCTGCTCAGGCACAGGAACAGTATTTCGGGGAGCAAAGTTCCCTGTTTCTGAAGGAACCATTGAGATTTTGGGGGTTATGCTGGTAATCACATGCAGGCAGCACAGGAGATGCTTCCCCAGGTGCAAATACATCTTCTGCCTTGCTTCTGGTAGAGCATGGATGTGCCGTGGGAAGAGCCTGAGCTGCAGGGAGCTGCCACTTTGGGCAGTTTCAGAAAAACTGGAGTCCTCAGATAATACTGTTGAAAAGCAAATTTTGAGCTGAGAATGCAAATAAGAGGCTGGTCTGTCTCATGCAACCAGGGTTAGGCTCCACACGGCTGAGATATATCGTCATTCCTATAAAGAAACTGTCTATTTACATTGATTAGCCTGCAGCCAGGCAGGATATTTTGCCTCTCTGAAGAGGTCAGCATGTAACTGAAATACATGGCCCGGTTGGACAGATGAGAGCTTGTTTGGGCCTACGTGAGCGCTGGGACATACTAGAGAAGCTGTCTAGATGGGCCAGGGCTCTGTTTATTTGCAGGAGAAACACAGAGTGCATTTTGTAATCATTACCTGAGCTAAGGACTGATCTGCATTTAGGGGTCTGCAATTTAGAAATGGTCCAGAAACGGGGAGTGGGTGTAGGGGTGACCGTACACGTGTAAGCGTGGTGGGGGATGTACATGCCGGTCTTACTGGCAGGTGTACACAGGGCGAAAAAAAGGAGAAGATCAGTAACAGTCAGCTCTGCTTCTGCTGTGTGTGGTGCACACCCTCCTGGTGGGAAGCCAACAGGTTGAAGTCCTCTTCCGGAGGCATCTTGGCTGCTGTGTATCACTGGCAATATGTGACACGCGGGCTGCCATGAGACATCCAGGAAGATGAAGGTGCTGGCTGTTTTCATTCTTGCTGACATTGAGCCCGATGAAGGTCTGATAACACGACTTCCATAAAGTTTGTCAAGTCATAAAGCGTAGCTGTGGTGCCAGGGGACCTGGTCCTGGGGAGGAAGGTTGTTCAGCCCTATGTCCTCTCCTGGTGACCAGGAGGATTTGGTGGCCACTGAGCCACCCCCATAATCTGGCCTGGGAACCTTCCTGTCCTTGTTTTGCCAGTGTTGGGAGAAAAAAGGGTGCTTACCTGCTATACCCCCTGCCAGCCAGATGGAGGAGGGATTAGGGGAAATGCATCCATCAGGGGTAATCCAGCCACAGAAATATGTGTAAGGGATGAAATAGAGGCAGTACCCAGGAACGTCCCTCAGAAGCATTGCTCCTGCGCCCCGGTATATTCCTGCTATCCCCTCTTTCTGTAGGACTGTCCTAAAGCAGTGAATTGGGCCTCGGTACACAGGAAATCCAGGAAGTGTGGGCTTTAGCTTAATGTTCGCTGCAAAAGAAGATACAACTGTTATAATAGCTATATTGCTACAGAACTCCTCTCAAAAGCCTACCGCCACCGAACAGACAGAAATCACTGCCATCCATTTTCTTTTGCTGGGATCAACATGTAGTATGGGAAAAAAAAGTTTTAAGAAAGAGGACTTTGGTCCATTTTTAAAAGATGCTTAGACACTTCAGGACAGATTTTTCTTAGATGCATTGCATGCCTCCCAATAGGTATGTGCTCAGTAAAATTTCCAAATGAGCTTAAGGCTATGTGCCCAGTTTTCATAGATTTTAACCACATCTGGTGCCAAGCTGGATCTTTGGAAGCATTGATGTCTTAGGAGTTTGGCCCTTATAATGTAGAAGACCGAGGTGCTTTTGGAAAGGACATTAGGTTGCTAACCTGCATGGAGACTTTTAAAAACAGACATAGTATTATTTTATCAAAGCAATAAAAAAGTAAATATTTCACCAGTTGAACACCACAACTGTAACCATGAGAAAGGTGTTTGTGAAACCACTGAAATCCAAGCTGTTCAGCTCTGAAGCTGCGCCGTCTCTCCCTTTGGCTGCGCCCGTACTCTGGTGGGGTTTGCTCCATGCTGGCAGCCTGCGATGAAATTCTGCTGCCGTCTTGAGCAGAAGCACCTCCTTCTGCCTGCAGCTTCTGGAGAGGTTACAGCTGCCCACTGCCATCCTGCCAGTGTCCCCTCCTGACCCCTCTGGCCTGCACCTGGGTACCTATAACCCTGCCCCAAATAAGCTAGCGGTTTTCAAACATACATGTGAAATTTTTGCTTTGGAACAGAGGAGGGTGGAATAACAGAGAGTGGTTTATGGGCAAATATATGCGGGACGGAGAGGTGCAGCAGTAGATGGGGAGCTGGCATTGCTGCTGGCAGCTGTAGTGCTGCTGGTGGGATCTCCAGGGGACCCGACAGCCCCAGGACTCGCTGTTCTGCCCCACGGCCACGTGTTGAAGGTGGCTCCCCTGGCTCCTGATCCCGAGCAGGCCTGCCCCTGTGATCCCAATCAGCTGGAAATGCCAGAGGACATCTGATCAATGTCATTGATAAAAAACCTCCCCTTGAGCTCAGCAGGATGGGGTCCATCCTGAGGTGGAAGGAAGCTTCCTACCTTGCTTCTTACGTTCGATGTACGGCTGCATTTGCATCTGCAGCCTTATCTTTACCAAGTCCACAGGAGTGCCGATGCCCACAGAGATGAACCCTGCCACCATGCTGGCCAGAGCCACGTCGGCGAGTGCTGGCGTGCGAGATGGGTCTCCGTGGCGGAGCTGGCTGAGGAGCCGTTGCGTGTTGCTGAAGACGCCGAACACCACGGAGCTGTAGACGGCAATGCTGGCCAGAGGGAAGGACATGCCTTTGAAGAAACCGGCCACCTACCCAGGGAAGGGAGCAGGAGTTAAGACAGTAAACAGGACTGAGCAGAGTAAACCCCAACTTTTCTATCTGGCCAGAAGTGTAAATCCAAGTATCGGATGTCTCCTAGAACCAACCACTCGCACATGCTGAGCAAATGAAAATTAATTCATACTGCTAAAGACTTGTAAAGATTGTGCAGAATACAGAATATGCTGAAAGCACAGGAACCCATGTAAAAGTCCCTCTTTTGGCCAGCTTCTTTCCTGGCATCACCGAAGTCAGCAAAATACCTGCAGTGGAGCTTTGCCAGCAGGTACAGGCAAAAGAGCCACTGTGGATGTAACACCCCGACCCATGCAGAGACGTGGACAATGATGTCATTTATCACTCCCTGCCAGGGATGTCTCTTTTCCCTATAGGAGTAACTGAGAGAGTTACCTTAGAGTTAGCAGGAGAAGGCTGTAGGAATTTGCAGTCTCAATTTCACCAACTTTATTGGTCTTCATACAACTGCTGGTGTCAACAGTGATTTTGTATAATTGCTATACGTATTTATTTATTTATTTATCTATCTATTTGCATTTTCTACCAGCACTTTAAGTAAGATAAAGTACTTACAGACTCATTTCTGTACACAGTGAGAACACAGTTGAGTGTATTTCCATACCCTTGTCCAGCTTGCAAACGAGTCTGCAAAAGACATTCATAAAATGCAATTAAAATCCAGTGCTTCCAGCCCAGTGAAAGCTCATGCTACGTAAACAACGTGTACTTTGCTTTGAGAGTGAATCCTCCAAGTAGTAAAGAAAACGGAGCAATAAAATAAGATATATGTGCATCCAACCCCCTTGAACTTTGCCAGAAGCAAGGCTAAACGGGACCTCAGAGGTCTGAAGCTTTCTGCAACATCTGGAATCGATGACTGTCAAATTGCTCTCGAGTGCAGACCGGCTCCCCTGTCCCGGCACAGTGCTCGCAGCAGACTGCTGGTGTGCGGTGCTGTCATTGGCAAGGTCCCGATTTATGTGGAAATTGGAGAGTGATCTGGTCTCCCCCGTTTGGGGACTCTCAGTGGAGGTTGGGATGCGTTGCTGAAGGATGGAGAGGAGAGCTCCCCGGGAGGCTTCCAGGGCCCTTCTGATCCAAGGTGGATTTTAAGGCACAGAAATTCTAAATGGAGCCAAAATAATTCAGCTCCATCTCAGAAATTCTCCATGCTTCACTCAAAAATACATTTTTACATCATTTCCAACAAAGACATTTTGTTTCTGGAAAGCAATGGTTATATGCCTTCCAAAAAATGCCTGCAACAGCTGTAAGAAATGGCGTGTAAGTCACGACAAAGCTTATGTCATTCAACATGCTTTCCCCTTCTCACACATATATATGTATATATGCAACATATATTTAGATCATCTTTCATTCAAGCTGCTCACAATTTTGCAATAAAAAAATCCTGACAAGTGATGCATTTTTTGGACTTAGAGATGTGCAAAGAAATGGAAACCCTGTTTGGTTTGCAGGACCTGGAGCTTCAGCAATTAATCTTGACTGAGGCCAGAGCTCATTTTTTATAGGAAGACATTCACATTGTGCTCTATCGGGGATGTTTTTAGGGAACGGGAACAACATTTCTGGTGATATCCATCAGCATTGCTGCTATCAGGAACGACAAAATGAAGCCTGGAGGGACAGTGCCCGATCCTCTCCAGGGGCTCAGCCCCGACTTACTTACACCAAGGTGAAGCAGGAATTTTATTTGGGAATTTAAAGCCCAAAGGAATGAACGTCCTCCAGAGTTTGTACCTGGGGAGAGCTTTTGGACAGCAAACAGCAGGTTGAACGACACAGTCGTTTGGCCCAGAGCCCTGCAAGAGGCTGGTCAGGGGGTGCTGCCGTGGGACCCGCCTGGGGAGCGAGAAGGACCAAAGCCCGGGCTTGCACCGGGGCTGCTCCGTGCAGCCGTCTGCCCGCACCGAGCACCGCTCTGTGCCTGGCCAGAGGCCACGGAGAAGGCGGCAGCGAAAGCAGAATATTTACTGAGCCTTTACAAACAAGCCGATACGTGAAGATGCCGGCTACAGCTCATGCAGTGCACATTGTGCAACGCAGGCAGGCCCGGGCCGTGGGGGCAGACCTGTGCACGCCGTGACTCACGTCGGGGGTGATGGGGCCGGGAGGGACTGGCGGGGAGGCTGGCAGCACCCCAAGAACCTGGGACAGGGCGACTGCGGTGCACAGCCCTGCGTTCCCTCCTGGCTTCATCTGCACGCTTAGCCCAGACGTTTCCATTTTGCCCCCACGGGCTTGTTTTTTTTTTCTTTTACACAGTAACCAGGTATTTAGAAGGTCAAGTTAATGTATTTTTTGAGTAACTGAAGGCAACTGGGTGCCCTCACAAGCTGTTCCTCACACAAATGCACCTTTGTCTTAACAAACAACACCCGGCACCAAAATCCCTGCTGGCATCTCTGTCAAAGTCGACAGATACCAGTATGGATCGTCCTCAGGAAACTTCTCCTTTCTGTTACATTTTAATTAGTATGATAGGGTCTCAGGTGACACCCAGAAATGGAAGAAAGGTCTGGGGAAATGAATGCAGTGTGGAGGATGAAAAGTGAGTAAATGTAAAATTATTTAGAGTTTTGCAAGGCTGTGGGAAAACAGCTGCTTGGGTTTGATGGAAGCTGCGCCACTGGGAAGGGGCCAGCTGAAGGAGGAGGCCTGCTTGATGGGAACCATGGTGCAGGTACCACATACTCCATCCATCCCTTCGCTCAGTCCTGCCCCCTCCTCCAGGTGGGGAAGGACCCCCCATCCCCTGGAGGCTGCAAACGCCACTGAGCTGCCCCTCAGCTGCTTTAGTGCTGTGTAAAAATTCTCCTTTCCACTTCTCTTGCCCTAAATTTGGAAAGATAACAAGGCTGCCTACTTGGTATTCCCAGGCAATGTCCAAAGCCAAAGGCAACAGAGGGGTCAGCCTGACAGTTGTCTTTATAAGCGTTGAAGGATGGGCTTGCTCTCTCTCGGCATCCAGAAACTCGATGCTTCCCAGCAGGATCCTCTCAGTTGTTGCCAAACTCCCCCAAACCTGGCAATGACGCCCTGACAGCCAGCCTGAGATGGGGATTGCCTTGGCAACCCTGGGCAGAGCCTGCCTGCGCTGCCCGTGCCCTGGCCCTGCCCATCGCTGGGATGGTGCAGGCAGCCTCGCGGCTCCTCCCGCGTGGGGTCTGCGCCCATCCTTGCACGGCGATGCTCCCGGGGCTGATCTCACCCTAGCAGCTCCAAAAGGATAGGGCTGGCAGGCCACCTCCTGACCCCAGGAGAGCCGGCTGTGTGCAAGGGGATGGCTGTGATGGCCGGGGAAGGATGTGGCATGGGCTGCGCTGGACCCCGCCTCCTCCCCATCGCCCTCCAAGGGTCTCTAAGGTGCAAACGAGACCACCGGCTCTTGGGTTTGCCACATCTGACAGCCCAGCAACAAGGCTTGAACCAGATCAGAGCACGTGGGCAGGGCAGCTGAAGCAACGAAAGCTGGCCAGAGATGCCTATCACACTGTACGAAAGCAGAAAGGAAAAAGGAGCAGGATCTTCCTCTGTATCTCTGCGTCAGTAGGGATGGTCAACTCAGTTGGGTCAGGCTGTACTGGTGTGTGCATGAGCTTGTCTGCATCATGCTAGCAAATATCTTCTTACATCTCTAAATACTTCCCTCTGAGGAATAATCGTCTTGCAGGAATAATAAATATTGCATCTCATAGCCCCAGGATAAAAATTTCAGCACTCTGCTCTTCCAGCATTGCCAACACTAGGAAAACACGTAAAAGTGTGCCTGCAGCAAAACAAATATAGTTCCCCTGTTGCCCTTTGAATACTTGTCTGTTGCAAAGTTCAATAAAACATTGTCAGAACTGTTCAATGAACCACACATTAAGTAAGGCCAGGTTTAATTTTCAGCATTAATCCTCAGCGAAGGAATTCACACGTATCAGCCAGGTTTTTTTAGTTTCTCATTCAAAATGCGTGTTGGAGAGGAAGAAAGGCTAAAGTCTATGAAAACATTTCTACCCAGGCTAAATTCCCCCTTGGGGTGATGAGGGAAGTGAAGGTCTTTTGAAGCGTCATCTAGAGAGGCCACCTCCCTGTCAGTGGGGGTTTGGGTGGTGACATGAGAGCACAGTTCAAAGAGGTTTACCTTGATCGTATCCAGGGGGTGGCCCACAACCACGCTGGCAGCTCCTGGGGGTGAAAGTAAAATATTACACAAAACATTGAAGAAGCTTTTGTGACAGGACAGGAAGCAATGGGTTTACAGAGGAGGAGGAGAGATTTCCACAGGAACAGCCGTACTGGGCCAGAGCAATGCCCAGCAGAAACACTTGTGCATCTTCCCCTGAAAACTATCCTGGACTCCATCAACTTTACATCTCAAAGGCATCCGAGCAAGAGGAGGAGGTGGTGTATTTGTATGAGCTGTCCATGAGCAACCCCACTCGTACTCTTGTACGCTCATGCAAATATTTAGCCTTGAAATGGTGAGATTCAGGTTAGACACAGGGAAATGCTTTCTTCTGGCTCAGATAGCGATGCACTAGAGCCAAATGCTGATGGGTACTGTGAACCCCCATCCTTTCCTGTTGTAAGAGCAGTTTATAGCGATACCTGTCAGGGATGATTCAGATAAAGAGGCTCCTGCTCTGCATCGATCTCTGCAGTCCCATCCAGCCTTGTTCCCCATGGTTCTCTGGGAGAAACCGGCCCATTCCACCCCACTGTCCTGCCCATCTCCCCATGCCACTTGCTGCCAGGAGCCACTGCGGTGGGGCAGAGCACGGCTTGGTTTCCCCCTTCTCCAGGAGGATGGAGCAACCTGTGTCCAGGATATGTTTTTGTGTGCTTATAGCAAACAACACTGGCAGTTTTCAGGGTGTTTGTGGAGATGGTGGGTAGTTTGTGCTGCTTCCACATCTGCAGGTCTCTGTGCAAACCAGTGTCCCCAAGCGCTTTAGAGACTACATGGAATTTCTCACTTGTAGTGGATTAAGACTGAGAAGACCATCATGTCCTTGGGCAACACATTATGACTTTACTCAAAAGTGTATTATAAAATGTCCCCTCTCCTCCTGGACCTCGACCTGAGACCACCTGTGGTCCAGCGCTATGCATGAAAACTGCCCGCTGCCGCTGAGCGCTGGTGGCTCTTCGCTGCCCAGACACCCTGTCCCACCCCCGGGGGTGTGCGGCGAGAGGACGGGATCAGCGGGGCAGAGCGAGCGACTGCATCCTGCACAGCCACTACAGGCTGCAAAGAGCCAAACATCAGCTGCTCCAGTAACCCTTTGGCAGAAGTTCTGGGGGTTTTTTAGAGTCAGCTAACCTATTAACCTCGTCTGGCCGGTCAGGATCCGTGAGCCATCTCACACCCCCTTCCCGAGCCTGGGCACAGCTCTGGTCTGCGGCTGCCACGATTGCCCCTCGGTCCTGCCGGTGCTGCACCCCGTCCCGGGGCAGCTTGGCCGTGCACCTTATCTGCTGCTAAACCCAGCGGCGACTTTCCGTTCTGTCAGGATCCTGAATCACCGGTGTCTCTAGAGACCCTCGCGGTTTCTTTTCTTTCTGGGATCTATTTTCCCGCTGTTTGCAATCAGCATGTTCACCAGACCGGATCGATACCCCTCCCTGCCATCCCCCCCATCCCTCTTTGCCCTCCGGGGATCGCGGGGGTCAGAGCCGGGCGGTGCCGCTCCCG